AGTAACTCACACGCCTATAACAAAAAAAACATATATTTCAGACAAACAAGTTTAAAAGTTACTGGGGAAACATCAAAGCATACACAAGTTTCATATAATAAACACATGTTTACCTGACACTTTCCATCAGGACGAACCCAGGGCATTGTACCATTCTTCCAATTATCGTGCAATTTACGGTTCAGCCGATGTGCCAGCAGTGAGGTGAGAGGCATACATTCCTCAGTCTCGTCAGTGGCATATCCAAACATCAATCCTTGGTCTGCAGCGCCAAGATGATCCAAATCACGGTTTTTATTCATGGAATGTGAAAATTGAGGGTTTTGTTTCTGCAGCGTGGTCATCACGTTACATGTCAGGTGATCAAATCCTGCAATTGACACAAAAAGGCAACTCAACAAACAATCACAATTTTTTTGCAATTTCTGACATTTTATCATCTTTTTGAAAAAAATGTGGTTTTTTTTACACATTTTTTCTGTAACATATTACGTAAAGAGTTGTAATTTTGAACTACATAAATCGAATGGTTATACAAGAAACACTCAATGGTAGATGGATGTGTTTCCAATTTTGAAAATGCTTCTGAAATCATTTACAATGAATATTAATTTCATAATATAGTCCATCTTCATTGACAAACAGAGAATCCCGCATCAGAATGTTGACAACCTAAAAACCTTATCACAATCGAATTTACGAAAGTGCTCAGCAATATTTAGCTACTGGCAATAACATTTACATAGGGATATCTTGCAATAACAAAGATCTTGCAAAACTAACTTCTGCGGGGAATGTTTTTTTGCAAAGCGACTAATTTATTGACCATGGTAGTAAACAGCTTAATACCAATCTTACCCATTTCAGAGGATGAATATCCAACTTCTTTGACTACATCTCTCACAATCTGGGCATAGTCAATAACTGCGTGCGATGTAATCTCGCCGCTTACCAATATCATGCCATTACTGGCAAAACATTCTGTGAAGAAATGTACGATTTAGAAAACCAGTAGTTCTAAGCATTAGGAAGGTTAAAGATGAATTGAAGATTATACGTCAAGTTCAATATACTTTCATTATATGAGTTCATAACATCAGAATTAGCCAAAAAATGAAACAAAATGGGTTACCAAATGATTTGTTCAGATACAAGAAAACGAAATATTATGGAAAATTGTAATTTTTACACTGGTTTCTATAGTGGGATTATTTATATTCATATCTCAAAATTTTGCTTAGTGATATTAGTTGAAAAATTTGCATATTTGTATTGATATGAAATCTAACATAGGGAACAAATTTTAAAATAATTTTCGAATAATTTAATGAGTTTCCAGGGGATACTGATTTACTATTATCTACAATAAGAGTTATCTTCCAATATAGAATTCTCCATACTATGTCATCGTTTAATATTCACAATAATAGATCCCGTTTTTGAGAATATCAAGTCCTTCGCCACGTGTGCTCATTTTGTATGAATATAATGCGTTATCGACAACAAATAAGAGAGAAGGGGGTATTAAAAACTTAGGGAAATACAAATCAAAATTAAATTCTGCAAAACTCCCATTTAAGTATGAAATATGTAATCATGTTGTTTTATAAAACATATCTAGGAAATAAGAATTCCCAACAGTCACAGAAGAAGCAATGACATTCAAGGTTAGGATCCTCATTCTGCAGATGTTCAGCACCAATATATAGCAAATTAATATGCAAATTAACTACTTAATATGCACAGACTAGTCATGTCAGCACATTATGCCTAGGTACCAAATTTGGTTCAAATTCGCATGAAGGTTTTTGAGATTGGGGCTGAAATGAGTTAATATGCAAATTAGCTACTTGATAAGCCAGAAATGTTCCGAAAACTGAATATGTCCGTACATTACCTCCAGGTAAATTTTGTACCTACGAACTAAATTTGATCAAAATTTGCTCAGAAATTTCAGAGATTTTGCACACACACAAAACTCATAACCATTTTCTTAATTAAAGGCATTTTTGTGAAAATTTTTGATAATAACTAATGTTATATTAATTATATTAATGTATAAAAATTAGCAAAATGGTCTACCAAAATATTAGGGGAATCAATTGTGACATGCTGAGTTTCAGCCACTACGCAAATACTAAGGAATCTTTTAATTCATGAATATTCATTGATACTTACCACATGCCACCTTAGCGTTGGGATCCTGTTCAAGATGAGCATCTAAAATGGCATCACTCACACAGTCACAGATTTTATCTGAAAATATAGTAAATGCAAGTAAAAATAGCTTTTTACTAGCTATGATGCGGTTAATGATCGTGTTATTAAACCTCCATCGGGGGATCGGGGAGTTCGTCACCTGTCGATCAAAAAAAAGACACACACAGGTAGATACGTGTCAACTCCTCTAGCCTTAGTCGCACATCGAGAACTCTCCAAGACACAATGCCTCGGGGAAAAATCCCCCAAGACTCTCTCGCTTCGTGGAGCCCTGTCAAGACTAGCCTCACCTAGTGGAGATCTCTCTCAGACTGACTAAGACCCTTTATTCGCTTCTCCAATCATTCGCTTCACGCTTATTTTTAAACTCTTCCTGTGAATTACTAGCTCTATTCGATGGAATTGCTGAACCCTATCATTTAGTTTGCTTTGACCTCTGTCATTTCAAGTTCATGACTTTCTATGTCCTTGGCATGATGCTCTGACAGCTCAAATGCACGACCAGAATCCAACAAACCTAGTAGCGATAAATCACCTCTTGACGACACAAGTTGTGACTTAATTTCCTCATCAAAATCGTGGAAACCACAGTTCTTTGCTGATTGTCTTAAACGTGTATATTATTAGTCTAGGAATTCATCATATTTCTGTACAGCACGTCGGAGCACATTTACTTCGTATGTTTTGTTAACTTAGTATTTATTCAAAGCCTTTGTTGTTGTGTCATATCTCCTCCTTTTCTGTCTGGAAGCGACTCAAAAATGTCCGTAACCTCATCTCCGACCGAAAACAGTAATAAAGCTTTTTTTCTCACTTTATCATGTATGTCAAAAGCAACAAGAAATTTGTTAAATTTATTCAGCCATTTCTCCCAATGTGGGCCAATTGAGATACGTTCGCCATGTACAGAAAATACGAGAAATACCGGCAGTGCAGTCGCCATATTCGTCAACGATGCTTCAAAAAAATTGAATTTATTTTCAGTTGAGACTTCAGATCTATCTTTAACAAGTTAAATCCTCGTCGCCAATTGTACCGTTGTTGTGAGACACGGTTACAGTCTTTAGCATAACAAACAAAATGGTGTTTTATTCTCAGATCTTACAAGATTACATCATACTCATAATTATAAAATTAAAGGTCACGACACTACAAATATCATCATATGCATATTCGTATATCACTCAATAAATATATACTACGAGTAGAACTATACTATTGGCACATTAACAAATCACTTTTCCTTCATCTTTATAAACATTTATAAATTTCACTGCAAGCTGAATCTAATCAGCCAATGAGAGCAGTGCGCAGAGACGTCATTTGAAATTGTTTTCAAATGTTTTTCAATATGCCAATCAAAACCTTTTGTATTAGTATGAATTGTAACTATTGTTAATTGTGAATATTTATAAAGATAAAGGGAACAGGTTGTTTTGTGTCATGGTATATAAAATCATACGCAGTTGCCACATGTTTCATAGGTGAATGATAGATCTATAATCAATATCTATATTCAATATCATTTTATATTTTATTTTATATAGTTAAACTAAATAAATAAGAAGCCAAATGGTGATGGCGCTGCACAAGGTTGTGCACGTTTCAATAGAACGATTGTTATGGCGATTCAATACAATGGTCATTGCTAAAAGCGAACTCACCTGGATGGCCTTCCTTTACCGACTCTGATGAGAACAGAAACGTGTCATCTGAACCGGGTCCACCGTGCCCAGACATGGTTATTGCTTCACTGTGTTGTCAGTTAATGGTCGTACTTACAGTTCTACCAACGAGTTCTCGTATCGAGCGTTTTTGGACCAGTTGAGTGGTGTAATAAAATAGAGCATAATTCTAGAAGACTGCCTATATTTTATGCATTTTTTTTACATTATGTTAATTTATTCATGAAGTGCAGTTTCGGTGCTTGTAATTATTAATTAATTTGCGGGGATACATTCTAAAACGGGCGATTTATTATTTTTGAGGGCAAAAGTTATAAAGGGGGATTTAGTAATCCTTAGGCGGTCAATACAAATGAAGTGTGCATATGACTTGTGACCCTGTTCATACTTTGACTGGCTTCTATAGGAGGTAGTATTCCTGTGTTCTGTAATTCAGTTCTGAAGCTTTAAGCTGTATGTGTTTATAACATATACAAAAAATGATAGGATTTAAGTTCTATTTATAGAACTGTTCAATGTCATTTAAAAATCTCGCAAACCAGAGGATTTGAATCTGTGATCTCTCACATTGCTGACATCCACTGAAACATGTGTGTAGTTACACAAATAAATAATTTGTTGTAATACTCATATTTATTGCAAGTTAGTGTTTGTGAGAAGAGACAGGCGTCCTCTTGATCACTAAGCACACAAGTAATCCATGGTCAATAATGTCAATTTGGTGTTTTCTCTTTGACTGTGTAAACGGTGACAGTGGCACCGGAAGGCAGAGGGGATGTTCACCTTGCGTCTCGAACAATTTGATGTTTGCCATTTGCGTTGACCATACCTGACCCGACCCTAACCCTAATGTCAAGACACGTTTCTGTGAATAATTATAGCTCAATAGTGATACTCTCTTGTACACTGTCTGCTGGTAATGATGTCAAATGATCGAGTTTTATTAATTTCCACCATTAAAACTTGTTAAATTTAGAGAACAAATGTGTTGTCAAATATTTAATACTTTTTTTAATGTAAACAAGTCGCGTTTAAATATTTTCCGCCAATACAAGTTGTTAAACGTTTCTAACTACTTCAATGTTCCGATTAGTTAAATGGGGAAGCCAAAACGATTGCTTTGGCTCCGGTGAGTGTTTGTCTGGTAGAATTCGAACCGTAGGGGTTTGTATTAGGCGGTTTTTCAATTCCCATGTTTGCTACGCCGTAATATGCGACCTCTTCCCCATTTTATTGTGATTTTGTGAGTGTTAATGATGTCTTACTCGACGAAGTACATGACTCCACTGGTGAACAGCAATTATCACCTTCTTTCATGTCTTTGTCGTGGCGGAATTTCATTGTCGGTTTGGACTCACTTATGTTACGGTGAAAATATACCATTGTACGAGGCGACATGTACAATTCACGGGCGGCCCTGACTCATGTCACGGTAAGATAATCTAACGCAGTAAGTGTGTTAGATCGAATCATGGATGGCTTTGGTCCATGTCACGTTAAAATAAGCTATTGTAGTATTTTTTGATCTCATCCCATATGCTAACAATCACACATATACGTTTTTTAATGTTTGGGAGAAGAAGCAGTACATTAAAACTCTGAAACTAAAAATATTGAACATTTAAAATGATTAATCGATGGGAATAAAAAGATGCAACACATTTTTATTGGAACGTTCACAGCCATAGCTGTACCCTCGAGTGGCTGATGGCTGAAACTGAAACTGCAATCCAAACCAGCTACACATAGGCACTCGATCTAGCATCAACAAAGTTAGACCAGTCAGGGTCATTAAAACTACTTTTAAACCAAATTCATTCGAATGATCAAGTCGTGTTAATTTGAATAATCTAATTCAAGTATAATTTGTCCCCAAAATGTTTTTACCTGGCGCCTTTTAACGTCAGTGTCAACTATTACTCATCACATGGAATGTTTGATCAGTTCGCGACAAATCATCAGATATTAAGATTATATTTGGGGAAAAGGTTTGATATACTGGAACTTTCAGAAACCTGGTTGAAAGATGTTGGAGATGGGCACATAATTGCAGAATACACTGGATACACTTTTAAACACACACCACGTACAGATTCAGCTAGTGGAGGTGTAGCCATTATCCACATATCATCTCTAAGTTTAATAGCCTGGAAACCATTATGTAACATAATATTATTTGAAGCCACAGAAGCTACACTTTCCCATCATGGAGTAACCTTCAAAGCTCATCTTCATCTATCATCCACCTCCAACCGTAATGATAAATTTACAGTCTCTCAGTTGTTCCATGAATTGAGTTGCACACTTGAGA